ATAACGATTCTTACAGATACTACATAATATGCTAATATCGGGCCAATAATATCGGTCGGTCCAGCTGGTACATCTACTTAATCCTGCAGCCAAGTGTACTGTAGCTTACCTCCTGGTTCTGGAGTCATCAACCCATACGTCTTGTTTTAGTCAGTCACTAGTGGTAGAATATAAGTTGTCAGAATGATAAATCTCTAAAGTAGTGGTTTTGAACTCTTTTTGCCTCAGCTTTCTTATGGCTCCAGTTCCCCAGCTCTCTCCAATCGTCAGCGTTTTCCCACCTTCTTCCGCACTCATCCGTCTGCTACTCTGCACAACCCGACTCGAGTGCAACTTTTCCAGAAATGGAAATGGACCAAGATTGCCACGATTCAGCAAACGACAGAAGTCTTCACGTCGGTGAGTCACGTGTCGAGGTTACAATGTGGGAGGGCCATCAGTGATTGGTCATAGAAAATCATAAAGTGTTTTGTATTGAATTATAATTATTATGAATGGGAATATGAATTAGGTAGCTGAACCTATGTTGGGTGTAGAAATATTTAAGCGTTGTTGGATGAGAAGGTCTGAAATTCAACATAACCTTTACTACATTATCACTCAGTTTATACAGTCCTACTGCAATTACGGACAACATCGATGTCTTTTCTCTGTTATTTGTTACCCTGACCCTAATTAGGTTCTCTTTTCGTCTGCTTTGTAACCAGCTGTTATATCTGTTAGCTGATAACAACACCCCCACATCTACCATCATCTTCCTAAGCTCCATAATCCCCTTCTTCTCTTGTCTGTACTCTTACTTTGATGATAGTTGTTGATCTTTGGTTTCGTTTGTGTGTGTGTGTGTGATTTACAGACCCTGGATGATCTAGAGTAAAGAGTGAAGGAGGCAGGGATTGAGATCAGTGTTCGCCAGAGCTTCCTCACAGATCCTGCCGTGGCTGTCAAAAATCTGAAGGTGCCGTATCACCTCCATCCTCCCTCACCCCACATTGCTGATTCATTCTTTTCATGTTCACGGCGGTGAAGTGTTATCATCTCTGAGGATCATATGTGGGTGTGTACATGTAAGCAAAACATTTTTTTTTTTGCAACTCTCCGCAAAGAGGAAACGCTGAAAGTACGTGGACGCGAGGTTCGCGAGGTGCTGAAGAACCGTTCGTGTCTTGTCCGTTCGGTGCTCAGCAGCGCAGGTCATTTCCAAAGGCACAGTGGCTCTATTTAAACAGACAGCAGACTGTTCTCCCAGCTGAGATAATTTTTTTTTTTTGTGAAAGCTTTATTTAGAAACAAAAACCTCTGCAATATGTAAAAGAGGTGCTTAGAATTACAAATTAGGAATGGGGGTAAAGGTGGGAGAGCGGGGGACTGTGAATGCATTTAGGAGGGCTGGTTTGTCAGTCAAGTGCACTAGTAAAACATGTTATGTTTTATAAATCTGATCCTGTAACTGGGTCAAAACATTTTCCATGTGAACAAGTAACATACTTGGCAGTGGAGGTCAGCGACTGCCCTCCTTATTTTTCAGGACAGTGATGATATGACTGGACTGGAGCTCCTCTTTTTTTTATGGCGCCGTGCACCTCCAGTAGCGTTATGAAAATGGGGTGGTAATTTCATACTGTTAATACATGTTTTCACTGAAAAAGGTGCACTCAGTGACTCCGTGATTAGCATTTTAGCAATCTTGCTAACACCATGCTTCTATCTTAAGGCTTAGATTAACAAATTGCTGACAATATTAATTGAAGGTGTGAATATGTTTATTTAGTTTTAGAATATTCGACATGCAGATTTAATGTACTTTATAAAAGATCTTCAGTAACAGTTACAAACGAAAGAAAGCCAAAATAGCGCAAGCCAAAGAACGGCGTACGATCAGCAAATATAAACAAAACCGTCTTCCACGTATAGCACTGTTGCCACCGTTTCCTCAAAAAAGTAATCTGATTACTAATAAGTCCTTTAAAAAGTAACATATTTCTTGATTGTAATGTAAAAGTAACTTAGTTAGATTATTAGTTACATTAAGCAGCTTTTCTTTTGGGACTGCAGCTGTTTCCCACAGTCAAATAAACCTGGAGCTGTTGCTCTAAATTGATCGCAGTGCATGCAATTGTTTCAGGTTGACAGTGCTTTAGGGCCATATTCAGTGTTAATGTTTCATGTTCTGTTTGAAAAATAACTCCAGCTATTTATGCAAGATATGGTATGTGTTAAGGTATTTTGTGTGTTTGTTCCCCCCAAAATATAGTGACCCAACAAACCTCTTAGGTCAGTCTGTAAAATTATCTTTATTTCCTGCAAATAAAAGTTGAAAGTTTAAACCGCACTTTAAGTGACCTATAGAAACTTAACGGTTTATTATACGAGCTTCGGGTCGAGTTGATTCTCAGTCTGGCTTTTACTTCCAATCCTTCCTTTCTCGTCTGCGTTAGCCCTATTTACTTCAACACATAATAATAACCTAGGCTTTGTATCACAGCCTGGTTTTAGTGTGCAAGATGAATTCGTGCTGGCACAAGAAACCATGGCAACATCATGACTGTAGCCTATGTGGAGAGGGAAAGTGACTCTCTGCAGGGTCTCTGACTTACACTTTTCTTTTAACTCTGTGCCTCTGTTTTATCCTTCCTCTCTTTCAAGCGCCAAGATGCCAGAATTATTGTCGGCCTGTTCTATGAGACAGAGGCCAGAAAGGTCTTCTGTGAGGTAATCTATTTTCCTGTTTAGATTGATTCAGGATGTATTTAGCTGACATGAATTTTAAATATTTGGGGGGGCAGAATGAATGGTTTCTTTGCGGGGTTTTTTGTTTCTCCTCACTCGTAGAATTTCTATCTCACTGAATGTTTGCAAAAATGTATTTACTCCTGTAGAATGTGTATTATACATTAATGGATGAAGTTTAATTTATCATCTTGATTTCCTTAGCAACATGGTACGCTTGTTGCTAGGGAGTAGGCCAGTCTCACGGAGACTCCGATTCTGTCAGTTCCCTTTGTTTTGTATTTTATACACCTTAGAAAGAGGAAACCTACAGTGTACCAGATTTAGCTTGTTTGCTCATTTCTGTGAACGGACACAATAAACATATACTTAAGGGCTGAATTTCTCACTTATAGTGACGGGAAAATCAAGTCTGTGGTATTGATAGATCAATACACGCGTATTGATTGCTCTCATAAAGTATTGCTATAAATTAATAACTAAAAAAATCCACGTGTCACTTCCACATCTTTTAGAGCAACTTAATCCATACAGGCTTTTGTGCAGCCACACCCTGCGGTAATGTCAAATTGACTCGATCCATTCATGTCACCTGACCACTGACCAGTGGGAGAGAGCAGTGACCCCGTGCGATCAAGTCCACTAGAAATCTTTGTCCCTTAATGGTAGCAATTAAGGGACAGCAAATAGCAACCAACTGTTAAAGTTACATTGTGTACAAATTAAGCCGTGTAATTTGATGTGACTAATATGTTATAAATATATTTATATATTGAAGTATTAAACGGCCAGAATTTTTCAAATGGTACCTTAGGCTAGGTCTCTCGCGTACTGCGTTCCGTACTACCACATTCGAACTACCGTTGTTTCACTCTCCTCCCGCAGGTCTACAAGGAGAAGCTATTTGGGAAAAAATACGTGTGGTTTCTCATCGGCTGGTACGCGGACAATTGGTTCAAGATAAAGGATTCGTCTATCAACTGCACCGTGGAGCAGATGACAGAGGCCGTCGAGGGCCACGTCACCACTGAGATCGTCATGCTCAATCCAGAGACAGTGCGTGGAGCGTCGAACCTGGTGAGACTTTCAGCAGCATATCACTGTGTCTGTAGTTCCATCGTCTGTGGATTTTGATAAGACGTTGTGATCGACGCCAAGCCTTTCTCGAAGATAAGTTAATCTTACAATGTGAGTTTGGGGGATGAAGCAATTAAATTACTTCTTAATATTTCAAAACACCCCTTTTTTCTTCCTACAATTAAATACAATTAAAAGTCTCCTAATTTGCTGACATCTGTTCTCTTGGTAAAGGATAAGTCCGATTAACAAATAAGCTGCCTATTTATTAAAAGGCTTATTTTTCACAGCTCTTCAACATGGTGGCCTTGTTAAATTAAATAAAGAAGGGAGATTGATTCGCATCGGAATCAATTTTAATGATCCCACACCTCCGGATCTCCACAGTGGCTTCAGAGCAGCAATAAAACCCTTTTCCTGGTTATGGTGTGGACTGTTAGGCTTAACAGTATCACACACGACCGAGGCATTTGACAAGAATATCGATCGGACAAACCGGTCAGTGAGACGCAGTGAGAGTTGCCGTCGACCTTATAGTTGATTTTATTGCTTGTACTTGCCGAGCAGATTTGGACTCTGTGCGAGGATGACAGTTTGTTCTAGGCTTCATAATACCATCCTTCTTTACCCTTAACAAACCATAAGACCCGCACCTTCCCATTTTCCTTCGGAGAGATTGTGCTGCCTGGGCAGATAGAAAAATCCATTCCTGCAGGTAGGCATCCCAGAGGGCTGGTAACTACATTGTAAGGTCCACAGTTTATTTTTAACCAATGCCGCAGCTCAAAGACCGAGCGAGAGACGGAGAAAGACACGGAAAGAGAGAATCGTCTCAAGATGAAACAAAACATTGCCCCAAAAAAAAAAACAAAAAAAAAACCACTCAGTCAGAGACCGTCCGAAATATTTTATACCATTAAGAAAAAGTAGAGCCCCAGAAATGAATGGTAGCAGAAACCTACTCACCGTCTCATCCATTTTCAACAGCTGCGTTTTCCCATTTGTTACTCCGTCTCTTTTTTTTTTTCTGTCCTATTTTCATTCCCCACTTCACACACCTCGTCTTACCTCCTGTCCTTTTGTTTTCCCGCACCTGTGTTTACCTGCTCCTCCCTTAACGTGTTTGACTTGTGTCTCCGTCATCATTTCCTGCCCCTTGTGTATATGAAACCCAGTGTTTCTCCGACATTCTGTTCCGGTTCTTTTATGTTCTTCACGACAAGCGATCTAGCAATATTGTTGTTGTGTCATTACTAAATATTGTTTATCCAAACCTTTACCTCGAACACCTTATTATGTGTTTCAACACCTTGATTAGCATCCCGTGACTTGAGTCATGCCTACTTTCACAGGACGTCACCAGTGCGTAACTACATGCGTCTGTTGTGTTGCCTCGTTCTCAGACCTCCCAGGAGTTTCTGGCCAAGCTGATGTCCAAACTGGGAGGGAAGAACCCAGAGGAGACAGGCGGTTTCCAGGAGGCCCCTCTGGCCTACGATGCCGTATGGGCTTTGGCTTTGGCCCTCAATAAGACTGTGGGGCGTCTCAAGGCCAAGGGCTACAGGCTGGAAGATTTCAACTACAACAACAGAGACATCACGACGGAGATCTACCGAGCTTTAAACACCAGCTCCTTTGAAGGAGTTTCAGTAAGTTTGAAAAAGTAAAAAAAAAAAAGTTTGGAGCACCCAGGATAAATGGTGGATATGTAACAGTTTTTTCTTTTTTTTTTTTTTCCTTAGGGCCATGTTGTGTTTGATGCACAAGGTTCTCGAATGGCCTGGACTCTCATCGAACAGCTTCAAGGTTGTCAAACATATGGCCCGTAGGCCAAAACTAGCCCGTTTTTTTTTTCATTCATTTTCAAAATTCATCAAAATTGATTAATTTTGAGAGTGAAAAAATGCACAAAGTCTCATTTGGATTAATTTTGATAGTGAAAAAATGCACAAAGACTCATTTGGTGATGTTTGGTCAAATTCTATTTCATTATATGTGAATATTCTCCAATATACTTCTACTTATTTGCCAGAAAACAAAGGTGGAAAAACATGAACTTATTGTTATTTAAAGGTCAAATTTTGGTGCAAATGTCAAAATTGACACCCCTGCTTTAGATAAACAGTACCACTGTGGCCTAAATACAATCATAATACCACACGTATTTGATATAAAACTGTGCCATGTGCGTTTCTGTGTTCATAAATAATGGTGGATAACAATATCAGTTGCTGCGATCTATGGATCCCCAATCAGGATGATACATTATTCATGGCAGCCAAGTATATTTCAGCATTGGGAGTACAAAATAATTAGTCCGCAAAAAATATAGGTGATGGAACAATACCAACACAACAACCAGCAGGCAGGTTTTGTTTTGCTCAGGAAATATTTTTAATTGATAGGATTTTAGGTCAGTGTTCCGTCTTCCACGTGTTGTTGCATGTTTTGCAGTTTTTTTCGCAGCTAGCTCTGTTTTCTCCAGGGTACGTAGTAAACCATCTCCCACTGAAATGACCTCATTTTTTTTCTCTGTCACAAAGGAGGAAGTTACAAGAAGATTGGATATTACGACAGCACCAAAGGGAACCTGTCCTGGTACGGGAATGACCAGTGGATAGGTAAGACATGTATAGTACATTATTTTTATATCCCGTAAAATCATTTCTTTTTCTTTCTTTATGCCTCTTTCTTTGCTTGAAAGTTTTTTTTTTTTTTGCAAATGTGGAATGCATCAACCATTCCTATTGATAAATATTTCCAAACCGCAAGAATTCCATGAAGTCCTGCCGCTAACAAAGGAGCTATTCAGCAGAGAATCGAGCCATACTGTGCCACAGAAAGTACTTTAAAGTCGCAGCAGCAATGCAGCACAATTAAATGAAACTCCATAGTGTTTTTTTATCCTAAAAACACGTATCCTAAAATGATTTTTTACTATGATCTGTCAATGGAAGGATGTTGTTTTGACCTCTGTTTGAGAGTCGGCGAATGTTTTTAGACAGCGTGACACGCTGCGTTGTGCTGTAGCAAAAGTCTGGAACAGCATGTTACCCAGGGATGTTTTTCAGAATGTGCTCCTTCCTCCCAGCTATATTATTGGTCAGTAGGGTTAACTCGGGCAGCAGTGAACAGTGGTTACACTCCGGGTCTCCTCCTCGCCTACTGTGTTTTTATATAAGGCAGGTTTCGTCGTGTGATTGACGAATCTGATTTTGTTTTTACTCACGCGTAGTATTTGTGTACACATCTAGTGTCAGTGACTGCATTCAAATATATATATTTACATGTACGGTGATAAATATTCCTCTTTTTGTCCAACTCTCCTTCTTTCATGTTTTCTTTAAGTTTTCATGCGTATACGTGTCACTTTAATCTCCTCCTTTTTTCGCACTCTCATCTCCACCGCTCATGTATTCCTTGGGTCTCCATGACAACCACTGCAGCATCGCTGCTCCTCTCTCTTATTTCCGTGGTAACCATAATGGGGCCACTTGGCAGTTGCCATGGTGACGTACTGTCCTGATTCCACCATCAAGGGCAAGGGGAGCTTTTAAACAACAAAACCAGACACACACGCACGCACACACACACAAAATTGCGCACGCATTAACACATAAACATATCTATATATCTATCCCTTTCTCTGTCTGTTCATGTTTCACTCTCTCTCTCTCTCTCTCTCTCTCCTCTCGCTCCCTTTCTCAGACATATGTATGCATATATATATTTTATATATACATATACTGAATGTATTTGTCACATTTTCAACCGAAACCGATCTAAATCATTGTCAGCATTGCTTTATTTATTGTAAAATAAGAGCGATAACGATGCGCAACGTATGCCCTCGAAACAACAAAATAAAAATGTACAAAGATCAAACAAAGATGTATCAAATATGGACTGGAGACTTGGACCGACTGCGTACACGCCAAACACACAATGCAGTACACTATAACATTTTTTTTTTTGCCATAAGGCTCTATAATAAGAAGTCATTTGGACGGGACTTCACATCACAAGTATCGCGCCACGGATATAGCTGCGGTTTTAAGACTCTACGCATTATTCCTTTTTATGAAAGTCTGTCTTTTTCTCCCTTAGGACGAGCTAATCTAATCATTTCCCCCTTTTATTTGCTGTTATAGTAGTTTTATACATTTTCTATACTGTAGGATGTTTTCCCGACCCGAAAACTCATCATCTTCCTTGTACGCTTGTTTGCTTCATACTTTCTGAATAAACCGTTGGAGTTATTATTGGTTTGTCATGATGCCAAGCAGTAGCTCCGTAAGAGGTCTGGTCAGTAGCCAATTGCGGCGCAGATCATCTGGAGGCAGAAACTCCTGTGAGTTCTGTGCCTTTAATGAAGGTTGACAGGTTATGCACGGTGCAGATTGCAGATGAGAGAGATCTGAATATACTCCATGGAGCGCAGGGCGAAAAAACGCGAATCGTCGCTTTAATGGAATCAGACAGGATGTCGATGCTGTTTCTCAGAAAGGTCCACCGAGTGCACATTTTCTAGGTGAGGCGTGCTCGGGAAGGCTACAGAGCCAGGTGACGTCATGGAGGGATTGTTCGGAATCGGGAACGCTGCCGCTGGAGAGCGGCGGGTGACGAGGAGCGGAAAATCCGACTGGAAATGAGGGAAGCGGAGTTTGGAGATTGGCCGAGCGTCGCCGGCAGCGTGAAGTGTGCACACGTCGGTGGGATACACAGAAAGTTTGTTATGGTGCAGAGCTGTGGCTAAGAAACAGGTCAAGAGCCCAGATGGTGGGCAGTGGAAAAATAAGGGAGGACACTGGTGCTGGGGACATCTTTCAAGACATGGATTCCAGGGCTGTGTGGCAGGGAGGAGATTGTGAGACAGTCTATAGATGGCTGGCTGCAGTGAGAGGAACAGGTGACGGAGTTGATGGTAATTGGCAGGGAGCAGCTGTCTGTGGAGTGTTGGTGCGGATCAGGCTCACCTCCCGTGGTGTCTCAGTGGCGACATTATCTTATTGGTTCACCACTCCTCAGTTTAAGCTCCCTCTTGATACGTCATGCATGTGTGCAGCACTGTACCCTGTATTAATTAACCAAGAATTAGTTGCACAGCTTTTGGATGGCGATGCCAAATATGAATATGAAACTGTACTGTTGAAGACGACTAACAGAATCTTGACTCGTGGAAAGTAGAAACTTTTCATTTTTTTTTTTTTTTTTTTAACACTTCTATTGGGTGCACTTCTATTGGGTGAAGTACACCTCATCACATGCTTGTTGTACTTCGCTGTGCATATTTTTTATGCTTAGTCGTGTTTCCCACCTTAATGCACACTTCTGATTAAAAGTTGAAAATTTCCCCTTGTGCTTTACAGTTCGGGTGTTATGTTCCCGGAATATGACAGGAAACAAAAATAGCATCCGCGTGAAGTACAAACACGGGGGCTTTTGAAGCAGGATTTTCACCATATTCTTTTGTATAAACTGCGTATGAACCCGGAGTTAACTTTACCGTGAAACAAGCTCTTGTCACAACTCAAACTGACATTCGGTGTCTGTAGCTGCTAATGCGATCTGCTCCCAGCTGTCAGATCATGGAATGTCTACAGGGCTCCTGTGTTCCATATGTAACGCAAGGAATATTTTCCGAATCTAATATAAACGTTTGCCAATTGCCAATACTGCTCAGTTATTTTCTGCTTATTGAAGCTTAGACGTAATTATATAGTGTTTAAACACAGATTAGATTTATTATTAACACACCCAACTGGATGTTCTGGAATACTCTTCAGATGTCCATCTTGTTTAAACACAATACTGTATTTTCCGAACTACAATGGCACTTTTTCATCCTTTGGCCGGGTTTACGATTTATACTCAGGTGTGACTTATATTTTGAAATATATAACTTGACATATTTGTTATTTTCATACTGACAGCCATATTAGTTATTTTTACACTAACAGTCACTAGAGGGCACTCTAGGCTTGTGTGCCAGTAACTGCTACTCGTGTACCGCTCCCTCCAAATAGTCACACAATCTGTGTTTTCCAGGCCCAGGACCTCCTGCTGACCAGACTATGGTTATCGAGGAGTTTCGCTACCTTTCCCAGAAGCTCTTCGTTTCTGTGTCTGTCTTTGCTGGATTCGGAATTCTGCTGGGAATCATCTGTCTCACGTTCAACATCTACAACAGTAAAGTCAGGTACACAATCAAATACAGTATACATTTATGAAATATTATTTAAGGTCTTTGTAACTTCCATGGCATAGCGGTTGTCATGGCTGCCTTACATGTAGAAAGTCCTTGGTTCAGTCCCCAAGGGAACAAATTATTACTCACTTACTTGAGCTTTAACTATTGTTAAAAAAAAATAGTAAAGCCTCTGTTTAAGAGGCTCAGGAACCTTGAAATCGTCAGTGACATCACCTTTTCTGTGTCATCAGCTACTCTGGATCACATGCTGGCCCCCATCTGCCTTTTGCTAAACACTCTAGCTGTTTCAGCATTCTGTGGCTATGGTTCAGGTCCTTGTGAGAACAGTCTCATTGAGGTCCACATACATAGCAGGGCTCCCATTAAGACCTAAAAGATGACACAGATGAAAGCTAAAAATAGAACCCTTCTCTGTTGTCTGTTGGGTCAGAAGCTGTTTTTTCTTAAAGGTTGCCTCTTGAGGAATGTCTTAATATTGCAAAAATATACCAAAACATCGCTCGTTTCACAAAAGAGTAATCTGACATACATTGCACAGATTAAACTCGTTTCACAAAAGAGTAATCTGACATTTGAAAGAAGTATTCAAGATGTGATTGTGATCCATTATTAGAAGGAAACCCAAGAGTAAAAGAGCAGCGAAAGCATTTATTTAAATATGTACGGCACTTTTTACATTGACATAAAAATGATGCACAGTCTTTATATATATTTATGTATATATCTATTTATCTGTTTATCTTTCCGCCTCTTTTCTGCAGGTACATTCAGAACTCTCAGCCATACCTCAACAACATGACTGCACTGGGATGCATGATGGCCCTGGCTGCTGTCTTTCCCCTGGGCATTGATGGCCTTCATGTCCACAGGAAGCAGTTTCCCGTCGTTTGCCAGGTAAACTTAAAAAGGTTAAACTGCTAAATTAAAAAGAATGGTACGTAGGTCTGTCAATTAAGGACAAGTTTATAGAGATTTACAAATCCAGCCTTACCATATGGCCTACTACAGTGTGACGTATCTGAACCGTTTGACGTTTAAATAGCCAGGGGAACCTTTGTCTCTAACATGGACTGAGATTATGTCTGTCTGGGAGAGAGAGACCAGGGAAAGGGGGACTGGAATCGGGAAGGATGGATGGGTGCGGATAATCCTGAGGAGACAGACATTAGTGGAGACAAGGTAAACAGGGAAAGGCAAAAAAGAAGTGTGGCCCATTGACAAGTGCTGTCTACCTCCTCTAGATGCAGGATTGTTGCAGTGAAAGAGTGACGACTGCATGACAGGTGCCTTTGCATACACAGAAGCCGAAGATAACAAAGCACAGTGACAGCACAGACAGACAGACAAACAGACACACAGGTGTCATGAAATACAATAAAATGTCAATCTCAAATATTTTCTGTCCGTGAGTAAGGCAGGTTGGCAGTTTTGGCTTTTATTTAATATGACAATGACCTTCACTATGGCGATGCAAATGTATAAATGTAATCTTCTACTGTCAGAGTCGCCAGGCCTGGATTTATGGGTAGGAGTCAAGTAAGGCATTTAGCATAAATATGGAGCCATAAAATGACTTCCATTTAAATCCGGTCATGGTCCAGGTTAACAAAGGCGCCTCAGGTGCTGTGACCGGCAGGGCGCTGGTGAGAGTTGAGCTGCTGTTGTACTGTACAAAGATGAAGACGCTGAATGTAGAGGTTAGAGTAGTGGCTTTATATGCAGGGACTGTGACTGGGGGGGAAAAAGAGAACTTGCAGACCTGAGGATGACAACATAGTAGATATTCTGAGTGTTTATTACATCAGGAGCAAAGCCAAGCAGTTCTATTATTGTACAGATGAAAGGGAGAAGAATTTCAGAGCACTCTAGACCAAGTAGTACAAGGTGCCCTCAGATGGTGTAGAAAGTAGTAGGTCCTAATTTCAATGGACATTTTGGTGAATAGACTCGTGGTGATGGGGGGGGGAGGGGAGGGGCAGGCTATGGTCTTTAAACAGAAATGCAGAAGGGCAGATTGTGTCGATTTTGCAATAATGTACAAAAGATGAGGAACTTGCGGACAGGTGAATTACGTCCTCTGAACCATAGACAGATGAGAGATTGTAAAGCGTTGCAGGGGAGAGACATAGAGAGACAGCATAGCATGGTAGTGTGTGGGATGACAGTGGAAAACAACCAAGGTCATCAAAAGAGTGAAGACGAGTATTGCAGAGAGGTAAGAAAAGCTCAGGAGGGCATTGAGGATCTTTAAGGAGTGGCAGAGAAGTATATGTGGGTGGTTCACGTGGGTTTTAGGGGCTGCAACCCTACTTCTTGGCAATGATTATGGACAGGTTTGCACATGGGTTCACGCAGGTGTATCAGTGAACCATAATGTCATCGCAATCTGTGGTGACAGTTAAGGAAGTACTGTGGGGTGAACCTGGAAGGATAAAGAACAATACTAAAGATAATAGGAATTGATGTTCGCAGAAGCAAGACAGTTTTTAGCTATAATATTTTCAAGCATTTTTCTAATTTCATCTCCCAAATGTCAACCCCCAATGCCTTGTCTCTTTTGGTTTGCAATCAAAACAAAAATATGTGTTTAGATATATTGGCATTCAAGATCAATTCCATTCCACATTTTTTCCCCCTACTGTCTACTCCCATTTTTGAATTTTCAAATCAAAACAAAGCTTGTCGGCTTATGGTGTATTTATAATTCATAGTCAAGCGTGGCAACAGGTTCCAGTGGGAGGGATTTTGAAAATTCAAAACATTTGAAATATGAAGTGTAATAGACTGTAGTTACACTTGGCATCTTAGCTGGGTTTTTTTTTTGGTTTTTGTTTTGTAATTTCATTTTTTCATAGTGTCACCCTCCTACTGAAAGTCTTTTTCAATAAATAAGCCAATGAAGGTGTTATTTGTGCCATCACCTTTATTTAGTGCAGCGTCACGATGAGATCATTTGACACTTTCTGTATTTATATTGTTACTACTTTGGGGTTTTTTCTTTTCCATAGTTTCGACTCTGGCTGTTAGGTGTTGGTTTCAGCCTGGCATACGGCAGCATGTTCACCAAGATCTGGTGGGTCCACACTGTTTTCACAAAGAAGGATGAGAAGAAGGACCGGAGGAAGGTAAGAGGAACAGATTTGAAATCACTGCCCGCATCTGTGTTCAAACCGAGACGGCAGCTTTGTATACCTTCCTTTTCTCCACGAAAAACAAACTCTTCTGAATGTTCTCATTAGAAGAAACTTGCCCTGTTTTTTTTTTTCTTTATCTCTCTTCTGCTGTTCTTCTGTGGCGAATGTAAAACGACACATTAGACCAGATGTCCTAGAGCAGACACTGCTGCTGCAAGGCTTGTGTCAACAGCGATTTGGTTCACTTTAACTGACTTTATGCCCATTCTGGAGTGACTGCAGTGTGTCTTCCTTGAGGGTGGAAGTGAGCTACTTTTACAGAAGCTTAACACAGACGGCTTTCTAGGAAAATACAACTTTTACGTTTGTTTTCGAAGCCATTTTTGTTTTTTAAAATAACGTACAAACTGTGACCGCAGAAGGCAAAACTGATTACACGGGGCCATGTAGTTGTTTAGTGTTTCACAGTAAAATAAGAAGAATGTAAAGTTTAGTCAGAAAAATACTTCTATACGCTGACTAGATAGATGGATGGATGGATGGATGGATAGATAGATAGGTAGTGTCTGGAGAAGTAGCAGAAGAAGAATCACCTTAATTGTGATTGTACATTTTTTGTCATCAATAAATTCCCCGGGGAGCGGTGTGCTATCAAACCTTTAAGGTGCTATAGAAATGTGAAAATGTATCATAATGCATAACGTGCCTGAGTTTGAAATTCAGAATTTAAATTGCCTCAATAAAACTTCAAATTGAAAGAAATATAATTAGACGGGCCAGAGGGTCTATTCGAAGGTCATGACTTAGGACGCTCAGCACTTGCCAAGTTCTGTTTAGTGCAGTACAGCTGTGACTATAATGATGCACAGCAGAAAGAGATGAAATCTGGCTCTGTGCTCTTGTTTTTTTTCCCGTACTTATCTGAGCTGAAAAATCAGACGGCTTTTATTCATCAGGGAAAAAAAAAAAAGGGGTGTCGAAAACATTACGCCGGTAGGATTCAGAATCAGTATCTCATGTTCCCCGTGTCTGGTTACATACGTGAACGTGTGGATTTAATAACTAAAAGTGGGAGCCGTCCACTCTCATTACTCTGGCGCTTTTCAGCCGATTGGATTGGCTTCAGTTTATTGATGGGTTATTGTTTTCTCCTCCGGCTTGGCCACTCTCTATTTCAGGCTTTATAAATCTCTTCCTCGCAGATCCCGAAAAGGATTTGTGCTTTTTGGCTTATCCCTTAGTCCTTTAGTGACTGTCAATCTCATTTCCCGGCAGCACCTGAAACCATGGAAACTCTACGCTACTGTAGGTGTGCTGCTCAGCATTGACGTCTTGTCTCTCATGATATGGCAGATTGTGGATCCTTTGCATATCACAGTGGAGGTATGATGGCTGATTTGTTGTTTACGTTTTTGTTTTTTTTTGAAACATTTTTTAATCCTCTTTAAGGCCTTTGTTCGTTTACCTTCCCGTTTCTGTTTTTTTGGTCAATCAAAACACTGGCTTTCTGGAGATTATTTACACACGCCAACACACAGTTGTGTGCTAGTTTCTTCACATTTGTCTTTTATTGATATTGTGAGAGTTCAATAATGTTAATTATCTCGCATGCATCACAAATATTCCCATCGGGCCTCGGATCCTGGCTTTGTCAATATTAGATATCCCTTCGCCACAGGAAGAAATAAATCATTGGTAGAAAACAAGCGAATGTGCGACACAACAGTGGTAAACCTCAATCTGACCAAATGACATCATGCCTGATTTTAACACTCACCCTCGTGGACAGTACACACTAGGCATGCTGGGTAATGATTCTGTTAGCTCTCTTCACATTCAGTAAATCCTGTCTTATCAGATCACTTGGTTTCAACTGCTGTTTCAGACTTTCTGATCGGAGTACCTTAAGGCGACATACAGTACCAGTTAAGCACATGGCTTGTCTTGCGTAGCGTTGAGGAAATCCCAGCAAGTAATTTCACATCACAAAATCCTGCAGATTGCAGTATAATAATAATAATAATGCAGAATCTAGTATTTTGATTTTGCTCGAGTTTTAAATTGTCTTGTTTGCATGTTTGTATATGTCAAAAACAATAATGTAAAGGGAGGTTTACATGATTAAAATGTCCAAGTGCTCCCCCTTGTGGACAACCCTTCCTATTACTTCATTAGCTTTTTTTTTTTTTTTTGTCTTTCATTTATTCATAAATCCTTTTTAAAAACGTGCCTGTGTTTGTGTTGTGCAGAAATTTACCAAAGAAACCCCCAAAGGTGACCTTGATGTTTTAATTCAACCTTTACTGGAGCACTGCAGTTCTATAAAGATGAACACCTGGCTGGGTGAGTCCCGACGTCCTCCTGTTTCGTCCTCCTCTTTCTGACCTTGAACCTTCTGCACCGCGGCATGCTCAAGAGTTACACAACAAAGGAGAACCGGCGTTGATTTTGATCTTTATAATTTGGATTTTCCCCCACTCGGTGCAAAAGACATTCAATATTTATGCACACTAATAACGAAAAGTTAATTGCCTCTGATGTTCCGGGGTGATAAAGCTAATGAATGTAATAGTTTCAAAAAAAGGTTAACTAGGCTGTCTAGCGTAATGTAAGTAATGCAGAACTCTGCGATGATTCAAAAGGTTTAATTATTCTTTTCGAGCATTTTAAAGGGAGTGAACAAGTTGTCTCCTCTCCTCTCTTGTCCATGTCTCCAGGTGTGGTGTATGGATATAAAGGCTTGCTGCTGCTCCTGGGCATCTTCCTGGCATATGAGACTAAGTCTATTTCCACGGAGAAGATTAATGACCACCGCGCTGTGGGCATGGCTATCTATAACGTGGCTGTAAGTTGGACATGTGAGCACATGTTTCACAAAAGCAGTGACTGAAATCTCAGGTCAAAAAGCCTAAAAATAGAAACCCTGACATAATTGTTTGTAAGTTGATGTCTTAAACTGGTACTTTCCTGGCTGTTTTAGGGAAGTTTTGTGTATTTCATCAAACTAAAAGATTTCTTGCAAAAGTCATATTAGGAATAACAAAGAGAACACTATGTTTCTTTGATAATAAGATGAGCTAAATGAGAAGTGAAATGGAATAATTTAGTGCAAGGGTTCCCAACCCCAGGTCTGTGGACCGGTACTGGTACATAGGTCGTTTGTTACCGGACAATGAAAAATGAACTTAATTTGTACAAAATTTAATTAATTCAAAAAGAATCTATTTCCTTTCCACACTCAAAGATAATATAGCAATATTTCAAAAGAATATATCATCCAGACTCCTAAAAGATGATTTTTTAAATTTTTTTTTAATGTAACGATTTTCCTACGATCGGTGCGGTGCTATTGGCCAACCGGTCCTTAGTGCAAAACAGGTTTGGGGACCACTGATTTAATGTCTTTACTATATTGCACCAAAAGGTGCTGCTGTTTGACTCCTGTTGAATATTATTGTTGCAAGGTAGAATGACACACGTTTTGTTTCTTTCTTTCTTTTTCATCCTCTAGGTGCTATGCCTGATCACAGCTCCTGTTACTATGATTCTGTCCTCCCAGCAGGACGCCTCCTTTGCCTTTGCCTCCTTGGCCATTGTCTTCTCAGTGTACATTACGCTGGTTGTTCTTTTCGTCCCCAAGGTAAGGCGGGGATGACGCGCTCGTCGTCCCGTTCTCGCCGCCGCAGTGTCACGACATAATAGACGGCCTTTTATCAAGGCTCTGATTTAAGTCACCTGGGCTGCTGTGATACATCACACTGTGTCCTATAGATCAGTTCTGGCCTGTTCTGTCATCAGCAATACCTGCTCTACTCTGTCAGCATCACGGCATGTGTGTGTGTCTGTGTGTGTTCTGCGTGTAAACCAGAAAAGAAAGAATGTAGCAGCCTGTCTAAATTACCATAGTTCCCAGGAATAACTCTACCTCCCCCTATGTGTCAACCCTGGTAAAACATAAGGAGCGTTGCATCAGGAAGAAATGCGAGCGTAAACAAAAATACCAACGTCGTAATGACTGATAAAAACAGCCTAACCTCAACAGCCCTGTCCAACCACAAAGGTAAACAGACGCTAACATTAAATTATTACCGAACCACAAAGCATGTGTAAAAACACAGTGACCCAAAATGGCAGCCGTCATAGTCATTATTTGAATAACATAATAAGCTTAAAATATTCATTCCAGTGCATATCATCAGACAGACAGGTGAAATTATCTTCTGGTGAATTTCAAAGTGCGTTTAAATGCGATAAAAGTCGCGATTGGTCAATAATTGAATGCATTATTGACTAAATGTTTCCCATGATCACTCTTATTTCAGACATAATAAATTGGGGGAGGCAGATATTTGAAAAGGAAGCCCAAGCAAAATGCCCAAGCCTTCTGTAACAGAGAGTGAAAGGCAATAGCACCCCCTGCTGGAGGCCAATTGTATTTGACTTGTTCTACCATCTAAAGCAAATTAAGTGTTATAGCAAATAAACCCAACCAGAAGTGCTTCCCATTTGAAGTGAAGTACTTTTTGTCTCTCATCAAACAGCTGAAAAGCTAAATCACGTGTTAAAAAAAAAACGCAGACCAATCAAAGATGTTTCAAGGGTTCGATGTGTAAAAGGTTTTTTACTAGAGGTCCTAAATGTCCTTTCGAGAGACAATCCTCAATCTTTACAAATATTTAAACAAACATTCACCGGTGCCTACTTAAAAAAACAGTTGCTTTTTTTTACCACTGTGCTGTGTTTTGTAATGGAGTTATAGCAACTGCTGGTAGATCAACTGATAATCAACTATTAATTTCTGGGTTCAATCTTTGTGTCATAAACAAACAATACTGTGACAACTGCCTGATGTCTATTTATGTGACTCGACTTCCTATGCAAAATGGTAATATGAGTAAACGGTTTAGTCATATTACCATTGTATTAGTCATTTATGTGTCAGGCCGTGGCCTGTAGTGATGTCCCGCCTGAACAAAATGTTATGAATACGTGACAATTCCATACCAAGGCAAAAGGAGTAGACTTGGTTATCTTAAACATTCACTGTACCCACTTTTAAATATTTCATGTTTCACTAAAATGCCAGTTCGAGAACAACTCGGAGTTATCCCAAGGCTAGGGTTTTTTTTTTCTTCTTGTTTTTTTAAATCAGAGCACAAGTAAGTCATGATCGCGTGACGAACTTCACGTAATTGGCAAACATTTGTGAAACATGCTAACGTCTTCCACCTTGCACTGTCTGTAGATGCGGCGTCTGATCACACGGGGAGAGTGGCAGTCCGACGGACAAGAGGCTCTGAAGACGGGCTCGTCCACCAACAACAACGACGAGGAAAAGTCCAGACAGTTAGAGAGAGAAAATAAAGAGCTACAGAAAATCATTCAGGAGGCAAGACTTCTTGGTTTCTCTTAACTAGGCTAGTCAACCTTGTTAATGATCTCATTTGGTTTTAGGTTAAGAAAAGGATTTAATGTCTGTAAAACTTAACGTTCGTACAGCTCACGTCCACTTCTTAGAGTTTAGAACAGGGGTGTCAAACATACGGCCCGCGGACCAAAATCGGAGGAAAGTATATATCCTCCAAAATAGGAATATTCAGGTATTTGGCACCCAAGTGGATTCAAAGACACCTACGAAGTGCAACCCATATGTTTTTTGTTAGCAGAAAACGCACATTGGAAACCAAATGTGGCTAACACAGCTAAGCTAATTGAAACACACGCTTACTTTTTTTTTTCAACAGAAGCAAACCCATTTGGTAACTACGAGAACATGCTTGATTTAAAATTGAGCAGTGGCTAGTTAGCTTAGCTGGTTAGCTTAGCTTACTCTTCAAACCCAACCTCACCTCACTTATTCTACTGAGCTAACCAGTTACAACTAATTACACCCAGCTAACATAGAGACATAGAGGAATGTACCTGCTGATGAAAACAGTACCAGATACCTTCTGTAAGTGTTTCAAAAAACAAAAAAAAAACAAGATAATTTTTTTAAAACGACATCACTGTACTACACTTTCACCTCCACATTAGTTCATTGTGCTTGTATTGCCACTGTCACAAGCGCTAGCACAACCCGGTGTTTCCCCTTTGTTTCCGCAGAAAGAAGAGCGCGTGTCAGAGCTGAGGAACCAGCTCACGGAGCGACAGGCGACACACTCAAGAAGAAGACCGTCCACCATCACCAGTCACAACCACAGCCCACCTCTCGCAATCCACCAGAGCGACCCCAGGTCTTTAGCCCCTCCCCCAGGTTACCCCGACCCCACCTCTGACCCTCACCCCGTTCACATATCTTTCACCAACTCCTCCAGCCACTACCAGTCAGATAGCAAGCTTAGCCAATACAACTGCCACACCAACAGGTTACAGTTACTCTACAAATAGACACACAGATCTGTGAACAGTGCTGAAAGATGGGGCTCTAGTGGGAGTGATAGTAGAGGTGGCAACGTGAGGGAAAACTTTGGCGGTAAGGTCCACCAATCAGCAGAGGCCTGATGATGACATTAGAAATGATAGTGTTTTGTTTTGTTGTTTTTTTTTTTTTAAATCAAAGTGATTCATCTCCACTTTTCCTCTTTTTATTTATTCATTTTCTTGCCTCCATAGATGCAGAAGCTACGAAAACAAACGTCTCGGTCGTTCTAAAATGTCACATTTGTCGGTCGCTGGTGAGTTCTCATGTTCCATTGTTCTTAAAGCCTGACTGCTGCAGATATTCAACGTTGTCTATGAACATTTTTTTTCTTATATCGTTAGCAAAATTAGACACGTGGTTGAAAAAAAAAATACCCAAATTGGGCGTTTAAGGTTTAGCTACAATTGATCGAAGTAACAAATGGCCTTCACTTGAACGAGGCATCGTAATCCGAGAGACGTGTTTATGCTTTTTAGCCACACATGCTAGCATTTCTGGTTTTCAAGCTATAAGGCAAAAGAGCTAACGGCAGATTATAAAGATAGTAGTAAAAACTTGAGTAGTTAAAACTTGATTATTTTTCTTACAGTCAACTTAGTACATGTAAACATTCCCCTTTTTTTTTTACTTCATTTGGACAGTTTTCTGTACTTTTTGGGTTGTTTTTAGAGTAGGCTCTCGCTTGTGTTTCCAAGGAAAGTTTTCTAAAAATTTTAATAAGGAAGGAAAGGTTCAGGGGCCACATTCAGCCTAATTAGATGCCAATTGTGACAGACCAATATAGTCATAACATAATTACCTATAAATTACGACAAGTCCACGTTTGTCTCCTTTGTTTTCGTTTGCAAATAAGTAATTACGTTTATTATAAAATATTCATAATTAATGGAATATCATTTGCGCAAACATCACTAACATAAAGTGTTTGTGCATTTCTTTTCACTTTCAAAATTTAAGTGGGCCAGATCGAAGCCCGCAGTGGGCCGGTTTTTGACCTGCGGGCCGTATGTTTGGCACCCCTAACTATAGAAAATTCTCAGCAGTCTGCTCTTAAGGGCTGTATTCACGAGACAAACTGAAACAGACATAAGATTATGCTTCTTAAATTATGATTTAAGACCAAACCAGGCATGGGCAAACTAAGGCCCGGGGGCCAGATGTGGCCCGTTCAGCTTTTTAATCCGGCCCGCTTAACTTTTCAAAATGATATAATTTATTTATATTATCATTATACTTCTGCCTTTTCCCTGCAATACCCATGTTCCCCAATAGATGGCGTAGAACATGATAAAAGAATTTTAGCATTTTAGCCTTTATGCCTGACTTTTACATGTAATTTATCTTGGTTCTCACGCACGCTCCATCTCTCTGCTCCTGACCCGGCCCCCCTGTTCAATTTTAGGACAATTGTGGCCCGCGATTCCAAAAGTTTGCCCACGTCTGAAGTAAACCAAGTTAAACAAGTTAGCCTAGAGTTAGCCTTTACAGGCAATGTTGGCTCCACACAAACCACTACCCACAATTCTGGTTGTTTTTCAAGTATATAAGCAGCATGTCTGCGACGTTGTTTCAACAACTGCTACCACAGCCCAGAGTTGGGTCAATAAGCCAAAACTATCTTTAACGTCGGAGCAGACAAGGCTGTGCTTCATGACCGTTCGTTGTATTAACTGAAAACGATGACCTCCAAATAGTACAGTAGCCTTATATACAGCCTATTTTTGTATATTTTGTGGAAACGGACAAAAGAAATTGTTTTCTTTTCCTTCTCATGTCTCCCGGTGATGTGATTTGTACTGAAGGGCGTCGTCGACGACAACTCTCTTTCTCTGTCAATCGCGTCAAGTCTCGTTCTCGCTAAATAACGCAATTTCTGACCGCACTCAGTTGCTCTGATGACGTAAGCGATTTGAATCACCGACGAAGTCCTGAAGCGCGAACCTTAGTGGAATCGTTATATAAACAAGCATTTATCCAAAAAACTGTACATACACTGTAATGTCCTGATGCCCCAACCACCAGGTGGGGGTAAAAGCAGGGACCGACCGACAATGTCCGAACCATCCGGTAGCATTTGTTGCAGAAAAAAAAAACAAAAACGTCGTCCCGTTTTTTTCCTCTCGTTCCATGGTGACTTTTGACAACAGTACAGTTTATTGGAGAGTATTGTACATAGCTGTGTTTGTTTAAAGTTTAGACAAACCCATTAGTCCCCCGCCCGCCCCCCAAGAAAAAAAAAAAAAAACGTCATTCTTTTAAAAAGATATTTTCAAGTGCATTTATAGACAGCATGACATTTTTAAAAAAAAAGAAGAAAACAGTATTTGGAACGTACCAGCTTTATTTCAAATGGTTACATTGAATAACTGTGAAAGACACAATTATTTTGCAAAAACCCACAACACTAATAAAGTCAAACATTTTCCAGTTCTGTTTGGTGGTGTTTTTTTAAAACATATACCGAGAGAAAACGGTCTATTTACAAACCCGGCCCCAAACCGACTACGTTCCCGTCAGGTCTGCATTATCATAATACAACAAAAGCGTAAAAGTATAAAGTACGGTATTTATGATAAATACATTTAAAGTCGTTATTGTCCAAGGAGTTATTTTTTATTACGGATGTGAAAGAAAGTTCCAGTGCCTTACACAAGGGGGCCTCGGTTTACAAAATCCAATACGTTTATTAAGAAAGTCTGGTGGCATCATTCCGACGTACATGTTAGTGTGTTCACATGTCCTCAGGTGGCGCTATAAGGGATGTGCTGTATGGTACATTTTGTGTTTTTTTGGTCAGGCAGTAATTGCTGTTCCTCATTCCTAAACTGAAATCAACCGCAACATGTGCTTAGTCACATAACACATGACAGTTCCTTTGCAGTTTCAGTTCCATCTGCCGCCGAAGCCGAAGGCATCTCATCCATGTGACCTCACAGACACATATGACAGATGAAGAAATTATATTAATTAAAAACCACCCGAGTAACCCCGCCCATCCCCCCCCCATCCCCCTTCTCACCTCCTACCACACCTCCACCCCCCGGTACCTTGGTAATCTCTCAGAAAGAGCGGGTGAGAAATTGATTTCAACCCTTCTGTCAGTGTTTTTGTTTCCATATCTGTGCTGACCTTTTCGCCAGAAAAACCCCGCTTTTGCTGTTGTTTCGTGCAAATTTCAAGATTAAAGAAAAGTAAAGTGGTGAAACTATTTAGTTTCCTCTCACACACACACTTTTCGCGCACACACACAAAGAGAGTATCTAGTTCCTGATATTGTTTTGGGGGGGTGGGGAGGGGGGGGGTGGAAAAATCCATTCGCAAAACAAATTTCCCCCAGTTTAGACGGCTGCTGTATTACACGGCTTTTCACTTTCTCGTGCTTTTGGGTTTCCCTTTGCTTTTGGGTTTCCCTTTGCTTTTAGTCACGGGGACCGGGTCTGTACATTTTCGGGCTATCTTTGTCAGGGAAGAAAACACAGAAAGTGTTTGACATTTGTGAATGTGAAAATTGGTTGGAAAAAAACAACAACTGTTTTTTGTGTTACTATCTCATTTTTTGCATTAAGTTTACTAGTTAGACCTTTAGTCACGCTGTCAGGGCAAAACTCCCCAAGGAACATTTCGTTTCAGACGGTGTAACTGGCGAGTAAACCATAGGTTTCAAACACAAGTTACTCAAGTTGTACAACTGCAGCAGATTGTGTCATGCTGTATATAAATTCAAAACAATAGCTGTATTATATTTCCTTTATCTATCTATCTATCTATCTATCTGGGTAGATTGTTAGCTATCTATCTATCTATCTATCTATCTATCTATCTATCTATCTATCTAGTTAGGTTGCTAGCTAGCTAGCTATCCATCCATCTATCTATCTATCTATCTATCTATCTATCTATCTAATTAGCTAGCTAGCTATTTGTAGCCATTGCTATTTATCTAGTGTTGCTAGTGTCGCTCTCATCGTGAAGAGCGACACATCGTTTTCAAATTGCCATGTGGAGTTTGAGAATTTAGTTTTGTTTTTTGTTTTTAGTTAACTTTGTGGTTCCCAAAGTAGGGGGCGCAGTGCCATTGCAGGGGAGGGAGCGTATTGTCCAATGCTCTCAATTTTTAACAAGAGACCCGCTCTCGTTTTTGTTCGTTCGATCTGCTCGGAGCAGCAGCAGCAGCCCCCCCGTAGTGCCCCACACGCTAGCATTGCCAAGCATGGCAATGCTAGCGTCCATTTGATTACATAATATTCAACTCTTAATATTAACTGAATTGATCCTAACCTTTAATGTCAGTACAGTAGGAGTGTTAGGGATTTTTTTTTACACTAACTGTCACATAATATTCATGTGACAGATGTATGAATAATGAAAGTATTGTGTAATGTCCCTTTTTAATGTGATGATGATTTCAAAATGTCTGATTCCGGCCTGTCTGTGAGAACGGTATTGTTCGTGTCTACTGATGATGCCATGCAGTAGAGCCATGTCCAGGACCGACGCTAACATTAGCTGCGGGGCTTCACTTTGTCCGCATCCGATTGATCGATTGCTAGTGGTATGAACTTCGTTAGCCCGTCAAAATGCATAAATTAGCCGCATCATTGTTTAAGCCGTAGGTTTCAAAGAGCGTGAAAAAAAAAAGTCCGTAAATTACTGTACATATTCGTTACGTAAGTAAACAAAATCTACAACTTAACTGACTTGCTCCGACCGCTTTTTGTTTGAAAACGTCATGCCCTTCGTTAGCATACATAGGTAGCCAAGTAGCTACCTGCTATTAGCCAACAGCTAATCGGGAGATTTGCTGTATTTATTGGAACTTAATCAGCTTTTTCAATAGATTTTACTCACCTTTACTCACTTACTCCCTTGCTCTCCTTACCGTGGCGTTTGCTTGTGCGCCCTGACGTGATGAATGGCTCCCCTCCCTCTGAACTCTGCTCTTATCTGTGATTCAGGCTACGGGCTAAACCATGTTAGAGCAGCGCACGCAACGGTTTCAGTGATATACAGCTGCCCACGGTACAGCTTTGGCAAGGAGTCAGAAACAGACAACGCACGGGTGGTCAGTGGTCGACGACGTAAACCAGGTGTGCTGATACACACTACACAGTACACAGTACACAGTACACATCACGGCGAAAACAGAGCCAAATAGCTAAATAATGTTACATCAGATATTAACTTATTGAAATTATTCATCCATTCACATCATTATTATTTTTGTTTCTTCACAGCCTTGAATCCGTTGAGGCGTTGAAGCCAGATTTTACATCTTTCAGACTTTATTGTGTTAGTATCAGAGTCTGAATGACATTATTCTGAAACATTGTATGATTATCTTTGAATGAAAAAGTAAAGGGATATAACTGGATTCTTTTGGAATGAAGTAAAATAGTAAAAAACTGAAGTACTTTTTTTTTTTACTGTGACCCTGTACCAAATAATTTACGGTCCAGTACCGGTCCCCGAACCCTGGGTTGGGCACCGGTGATTTAGAGCATACTGATATAACTGCCATGTAGCTGTATGGCACAATGGGATTCAATTCTCGCGGTATTCGATCACCACTAGACGCTACAGAAATATATATTTATATTTTCTTTTCTTTGTTTAATTGATCATATGATCAGCTAGCACTCCCTTCGTGAGCTACACCGGCAGAAGTCTCGGAATCACAAACCATTATATCAGATAAAGTCCAAATTACTCAGAAACGCATTCCCGACAAACCGACGACGGACTGTTTTTTTTTCCCTCCTCACCCGTCGATAAAAAACTGCAATAAATAATAAAAAGCTAAATTAGGAATTGTTCGCAAAGTTTAAGGCCGCGAGCTACAGAGTGAAGGTTACAAGGTCCTCCTTTGTTCTCCCCTTCGGCAGGTGCTACCCCGACCGTGTTTCCTATCGCCGGGTGACCTCCCCTGTTGCGTTAAATCCAGAGTGAGAAGTGCTTCAAAGTACATGCCTTTGCCGTTAGTCCTCCCGGCGCATCAGATAACCACGACCTTGGGGGGTTTTTTTTCTGCTCCTCAAAGTTCAATCGTGCCTTTGTCCCGTTTGTAGTTTTCTCGCAAATATTTATGTGAACATGAGTCACACTGAGCAGTTACTAAATTAGTATAGTTCTGTTCTATAGTGTAGTATAACGGGGGGTTCCCAACCCCCGGTTCGGGGACTGGTGTCCGAACCGGCGCCTGAAGAAATCTCTATTTACAAATTTAGCTTTATTTAGCTTACATGTATTTTTAGTATTTCTAACTTTTACAGTACCTGATAATATACATGTATTTTTTAGTATTTCTAACTTTTACAGTACTTTTACAGTACAGGTCAGTACTTCAAAGTATAGTATATTATAAAACTGCTTATATATTTGGTATTTCTCAATTCAGCTGTTAGGATGGTTCAGTTCTATAGTGTAATATAACAGGGGTGCCCAACCCCCGGTTCGGGGACCGGTGCTGGTCCGTAGGTCATTTGGTACCGGGCCGCAGTGAGATACACTGGAAAAATATGTACTTCAGTTACTTACGTAATTTACTTCATTTTAAAAGAAATCCCATCATATCCCTTTACTTGTTTCACTGAAAGTATTTTGCTGTCGATCCGCAGTAACGGATGGTACAAATATTTTGCGGACTGCTGCTTTAGTGTAACAGCAACTGACCAATAGGGTGAGATCAGGAAGCGTGCGTTTTGGAGGTGTTTGTGACAGAGACATTTCGCAATCCTGGAAAAGGTATTCTAGGTGGAGGCCAGACTTCCTGTTGCCAGGGGCTTTTTTTTTGTAAGGAAGACTGTGATTGGGTGAAGTGTCTTTGAAGACACTGGAGGTGTAAATGTCACGCAAATGTCTGTATGAATGGAGGTTTTTTGGCGATTTTTAAGGTACCCGAAGGCACCAGAGAGGCTGAAATCGAACGTGATTGGATCGTAGGCTATTAGCAAACTACGGAGACGATCTTCTATGTATACTTTGTACTACCGAAGTACACGTATTGATTGTTTTTGTTTTACTGGGTGCAGAGCAACACTTGATGGAGTGATTCACACAGAAACCCTGGAGACAGATTTCCTGGGTCTTGGTCAGGATGTGGTTGCAAGTGGTGCACTGAGAAGTACTGCATCATCCAGTAAGAGTACACACACACACAAGTGTGACTCTTGTTCGAATGTATACGTTTCATGAACCGATTGAAGTTAGTGATTTAAGTTTTTTGTGTTCGGTGAAAACAGGAAAAAAAAAACAAAAACGCAAAAACATCGCTCATTCTCTTCCACATTTTTAATCTCTCGGGTCAGTTGAACACGAGTCATCGTAACAATATATTATAAATAGCCACTGGACAAATAAATTAGTTAATAAATAAACAAATAAATAAATATGTCATTGCATTTTTAAAAAAAAAAAAAAAATAAATAACATTTCATTGATCGAGGTACTGCGCCCCCTAGAGTATACAGTGTGTAAACTAAAAGTCAAACCAGCAGAGTAGTAAAAAAAATAAAATAAATAAATACGGCATTTAGCTTTAGAGCCTTAGCTTACATTTGCTCGCCGGACATTTGACTGACTCTTTAGTGGACGTTTACGCACATCACATCAGTGAATGTTCATTTAGCAGCAGCGATATATATATATACATATATATCGTCGTCACTCGCTAGCCTCACAAGGCGAACACGCCGAAGAAACTCTTCCCGGGGTCGTCTTCCAGAAAAGGGAGCATATTCTCCTCCATCACTGTCCTCAGTCTGTCCCCTTTCAAAAGGTTGAACACGGCTCCCATGTAGACGGCGGCGAAAGAGCTCCCCTCGTCGGCGCTGTCGGCGCTCGCCGTCTTCTGGCAGACGGTGCGAGCGGAGTGCAGAATAGTCCGGTAGGACTTGACCTTGTCGCTTCCGAACGAGCTCGACCAGCGCTGCACGGTGTGACTCAGGTGAACCTGGGGACTCGACACGGCGCCGACGTCGGCGTCGCCGCAGCTGACCTGGAACGACACCTGGCTGTAAACGAAGTACAGGCCGTGGTGGGGGATGACCACCTCGTTGTTGTCCAGCTTCAGCCCTCCCTGGGAGTGCGTCTGTTCCACCTCGTCCTGCCATTCCACCGAGTTGGTCATTTTGGGGTTGTGGACGCCTGTTGAAAACACGAGAAAAGGTTTGCAGTCGTCAGAAGTTTATCGGGAATTATGGAAATTAGAACATGACAATTTTTTTTTTTTTTTAAATGTCAAGTTAGTTAGTTAGTTTCTGATAGTATCAGAGTTTTAATGTTTTGAATATCGTCAAATTATCTTTGCTCCTCAACATTTTTTTTGTACCAAGGACCCGTCGGCCGATATCGGCCATTACTGCGGACCGGTGAACATTGTTACATTTTCAAAAATAAAACATCTTTTAGACTCTATTCTGATAATATCAGTTTTAATGTCCTCTTGTTTTGAATATCGTCAAATTATCTTTGAATGAAAAAAGTAAAGGGATATGACTGGATTTTTCGTAATGAAGTAAATTAGTAAAACTGAAATCCATTTTTTTTCCCCCACTCTGTCCCACTGCAGCCCGTTTTATGGACCAGCACCGGTCCCCGAACCGTGTTTTTGGAAACCCCTGACCTAAGTGACAATTAACCCATTTTTGTAACCACTTTGCGTTTACCTTGTAAATGAATGGCCGCTCTCACATGTGACATCTGCCTTAGGGTGTGATGAAGCTCTGGAGGAAAAAAAAAAAAAAAAGAGAAAGTTTAATTAAAACTGAAATGACATTACATTGCATTATGGGAATTTGAATAGCAAGTCCCAAGTCAAATGTACTGTTAAAGTACATTTAAAGTCACTTTAAAGTTCTTACCGAAACTGTCTTCTTCTTGAGGTGAGCTCTGTTTTTTAAAAAGGAAAAAGAAAAGAAAATAGAGACACTGTTATAGACCGGCAGCTGATTCTGATGTTGTCATGTCCTAACAGACGTTTAAAGTACTTACATTATGTTGCCTGTAAAAGACCAGGAGTAGAGCGGCGGCGGCGGCGAGGCAGACGGTCAACACCAGCACGGCTTTGGTGAGCTTCGAGCGGGCCTGAACGCCCGGCGTCGGTTCTTCTCTCACTTCTCCGTCTCGGTCAGTAACATCCAGCTGTACTCTGCATTCACTATCCATTTTTATTTTATTATTATTATTATTATTTTCTTTTCAAATGATCTTTTTCAACCCGATTATCTGTATCTGTTTCTTCTTCGACTTCCAACTCTCTGGTTTGCTGAATGATCCCTCACAGTCCGGCTCTTTTAAAAGAGCCTCTCACCGATTGGTGGGGAAAGTCCAGTGATGTCACGTTGTGAGAGGATTTTTTTTGACGAAGGAAAAAAGACTGGTGAGGATGTTACACACCTCACTCACTCACACACACACACACACCCACCCCCGCACGCACCACCGACTGTATCCCTGTTGCACAGGCGCACATCAACAACAGGTTTTATTTTTTTTTTATTTTGTTTTTTTTTACACTTCTTCCTGAACAGCTAAAAAAAATTTTTTTTTTTTATTTTTTTTTATTTTTAGACATTGAATGCAAATGTAGGGCGCTTACGTTCGGTGCGGCGATGTGGTCAGTTCTTTGTGGGTCAGATGTGTGGAAAATGTGTCAAGCTGCGGTGAAAAGTCTCCCACATCGTTGGGTTATTCATCACTGCAGCTCCTATTATGGTTTACAACTTGGGGAAAATAAATCCCACGGTGTTTAAGGGGAGATGCGTCATGTTATTAATGATATTCTTTACTTCCTTTTTTTTTCCCCCTCTAAAAATAGACGGCACGAAAAAAAAAAAAGAAAAGGGGGAAGTAGCGTAAGTTTTTTTTTTTTTTTTTTTTTTGAAGTTGTCCGAAAGCAGGACTTTTCGTCTTCTCGCCTTCGTTTCATTTTTTCGTTTCACATCTTGGAGAAAATCCTATCGATAAGAAGGAAGTGTTCGGTATAATTTCTGTTATTTCTCAGCGACTCCGACATGCCTTAAAATTCTACCTGTGTTTGCCGGACGTCTGCATTCAGCGAGGTGACCAAAGTGTGGTTCACATCTGTTAGCAGAAGGAATACTTTTTTTTGTGGTGGAATTGATACTCCCTGGTCAGTGGCGACTGTTGCTTCTGCATTTCAGCCCTTGTAAAAAGATAACTGTATGACCACATTAAAATGTCAGCAGGACCTGTTTTCTGTCACGTGTTTATTGCTAGCTGTTACTGTGGACCGGTAATACTTTTGGAATGAAGTAAATTAGTAAAACTGAAGTACTTTTTTTTTTTTTTACTGTGTCCCACTCAGCCCTGGCTTATGGACCAGCACCGGCCCCCGAACCGGGGGTTGGGAACCCCTGATGTACGAGACTTAAGAAGACATATAGTGCAAGCTACTTGTGCACAAAATGTATCCTACCGCATAGCATGCTGGGATTTCTATATATGTAATATATAAGTGAACAATACTTTTCTATATTTTTAATTTTGTTTTTTCTTCAGCTGAACTGCTCTGTGTGTCTTGTGTTCACCCGTATTGTGTTATATGTGTTTTTCTCTGTATCCCACTACGGACCGGCACGGGTCCCCGGACCAGAGGTTGGGAACCCCTGCTTTAAATAGTCAACCTTTCATCTTTTAAACCCGGATAAGGATTTTTTTTATTATTATTATTGTTATTCTTATTTTGTAATAATATTTTTTTTATTGCAAATTACGTTTCAAAGAAAGAAGAAAAAAATACAGTAAATAATAATAATAATTCAAACAGGCCTCATCATCTGGCTAAGTTTGTGAGCGTTGCGCTCTGGTGACCCTAACGACTCTTATCTGATTTTTTTTTTTTTTTAATTTTGAATGGAAAATGAACCTGTCACATTTAGCTGAAAGGGGGAGTTTGTTTTTGTTTTATTTATACTTAAAAATGAGTCACACGTTGATTTAACTATAATCTTAATCTTAATCTCCGGACGTTGACCTTCAGTGAGTTCAAATGTGTGTGTGTTTGTTTATTTCTCACGTCTTTTGCAGGACAGTACCATGTCAGTATCTGTCTATCTCTGTCCGTCTGTCCTCGAAGGGTTAATGATCTGCGTCGTCTTCAGTCAGGATGACGAAACCGTCTGTTTCTGTAGGGGTAGTTTCACTGGTGCAAGATTAAACGGCAACAAAACAAACAGGAAGGATGTACTTTTTTTTTTTTTTGCACCATGTGGTTGGGAGCTCACGCAGCAACGTTTTCCGCACATAACAGTTGAGGAAACACTCCTCTAATATTTTGGCATGTCACTACAATATTCAAATTTTTTTTTGCTTCCTTCCAGGTGAAGCCCCAGGTCCAGAAGTGTCTTATTTCACCATGAACTACTTTAGAGGAGTGTCTGTCTGCGCCACCCACATGAAAGGATCGTAGGCAGAGGTTTCATCATCAGGTTTGTTAGTCAGTAAAGGTGGGGTAGTGTGAGGACACAAGCAGCGGGGAAGTCCCATGTTTTACCCTCTCGGTTCATTTTTTTTTTTTTTTTTGGAAACCTTTCGGTGTGGAACAGAATATTTCCCGATTAAATCCATCATATTTAGAGAATAGATTTGCATTCTCTCCCTGATTTAGAAAGTGATACCCCATGTGGGCTATTTTTACCTTTCCATTTCGCCCATAGTTACACATACAGGTACTATTTTTTTTTATTTATTTAAACACAGGAGCTCTATGGAAGGAAGATAGCTCGCTTTAAACACGTCAGAGGCGCCCGTATGCAGATATGCAGCGTAGGCAAATGGTAGGGGCATGTCCAGGCAGGCGGCCAAAAGAAAACCCCAATATTCGTTCATCTGCATAGCAAAGTTGATTGAGCTGGCGGTGAATTCACTACCACTTAAATTTAGCCTAGCATGCTAAATAGGTGAATGGGACATTTGCAGGCTACTGTATATTCAGGACTAGTAGTTGACCGGATGGTGTTTGGTCAAACCAATGAGATTGAGTTTAGGGCAGTACCCGGGCCCTCCTGAGGGGGGCGCAGTGAGGTGCCAGAGGGGTCCTGAGGGGCTTCCAATGGAATATGGCACGCATATGGACATAAGTGTACCACTGCTGTAATGCTTGAATGATAACAAGCCTCCAGTCACTAGGTGGCAGCAACACATACAGTGGTTTGTACAGATAAAAAAATAATACATCATGTATCTGTTATCAGGTTCTCAATAGTATTTCAATTTGGGTCGGAGGTGAGGGGGCGCGAAAACATTTCTGTCCTCAAGGGGGGGGGCATGACAGAAAATAATTAAGAACCACTGGTTTGGGGTATTCATGCAACATGCTAAACACCATTAGCTTCAAATCAGCTAATGTTAGCGGTTAGCACATCTGCTACACATCCCTTACATCCAACAATTATAACTTATTCAAATTAGTAATATTGTACATTTCTCTCTGTTGTAAAAAAAAAACCAATTATCCAGTTAAGAAACTCGACGCAATAATGAACCTTCAAGCTCCTGCGGACCACACAAAATGACTTGATGGGCCACATTTGGCCCGCGGACCTTGAGTTTGACACATATGCCCTAGAACTAACTGAAATCATGAATTACAACATTAGATTTGATTTTTTTAGATTCTTAAACTTCCATCTTTTTTTTTAATATTACAACTTGATTTTTTGCAAACAAAGGTCTTTGTATTTATGTAATCTTTTGACTTTTTCTGAAAATATTGAGACTTATGTTGTACAATATTTTACTATTTGTTCTTTTTCTTTAAATATTTTTTGTTTGTTTTTTTCCCTCGCTCTGGCTCGAATTCCGCTCCAATGCCATTATACCACCTTATTTGTAAGGTGATTTAGCGTTTGATTTGAATGCTAATTTGGAGTAAATATAAGATTTTCAGTTGCACATATGGTGCAAGAGGCCGCTGGTTACTTACAGTACAGGAGATGGTTAATGTTTACCCACCTCACAAGCAGAAAATAGGCCATGTGTATGAGCAGGCTGAGCTGTTGGCGTAGTTATAACTTTTGCAAAGTTCCACATTGTGGGGAAATTTTAGGCTGTTCACACGGGACTATATTCAACTAAGGATTGTTTCATATAATTTGTATAATTGATATGTTAGTCACCTAAATGCATTTTGTAACATAACTTCCTCCCCGTGGTGGGACCTCATGTCACACCTTTGCAACTCAAAAAGTCCCTGGATCTGCGTGAGTGATTATGATACAACCCACAGAAAATGACAAACCTCACACTAAGCACCATGTGTTCCTATAGGAACACATGGTGCTTAGTGTGAGGTTTGTCATTTTCTGTGGGTTGTATCATAATCACTCACGCAGATCCAGGGACTTTTTGAGTTGCAAAGGTGTGACATGAGGTCCCACCACGGGGAGGAAGTTATGTTACAAAATGCATTTAGGTGACTAACATATCAATTATACAAATTATATGAAACAATCCTTAGTTGAATATAGTCCCGTGTGAACAGCCTAAAATTTCCCCACAATGTGGAACTTTGCAAAAGTTATAACTACGCCAACAGCTCAGCCTGCTCATACACATGGCCTATTTTCTGCTTGTGAGGTGGGTAAACATTAACCATCTCCTGTACTGTAAGTAACCAGCGGCCTCTTGCACCATATGTGCAACTGTAAATCTTATATTTACTCTAAATTAATGCCGTTCAACCCTCCCGCCCGCTAGGAGTCACTAATGTGGCTTTTATCTATTGGCAAACCGGAAGAAGTGCGTTTGCTAAGCAGGGAAAGAAAGTGTACACAAAAAAAAAATATAGTGCATTGTCTGTTGAATTAACAGGTGCGCCTCGTAATCTAACAATTCTGATAGTACAATGCTGAAGGAGCGCCGGCAAGTAGCAGTCAGTAGTAAATAACTGTTGCGGTAATGAATCAGATATTTGAAGGCGAAATTACGTTAGCAAACAACCCGCGAAACCTCTGATATTGGGTTTTATTTTCCTCCTCCTACACTAAACACCACACAGCAACCGCAGAGCTAACGTGACAGTGTTGTATAATGGAGTTTTCTTATGACATAAACCAATTATTCCCCGAAAGGGTCTCCGTTTTGGACCACTCTCTAATTGCTGAAAACCGT